TGGACGGGAACGGCGTGCCGCAGTCGGAAGGCGTTAGCGGAGAAGTGTGTATAAGAGGACCAAACGTGACGAAGGGATATAAGAACAATCCAGAAGCCAATAAGGCCGCCTTCTTGTACGGATGGTTCCACACCGGCGATATCGGTTATCTCGACTCCGACGGATACTTGCATCTGGTCGGCCGGATCAAAGAGCTCATCAACCGTGGAGGTACAGTCCAACAGCTCAGATTCGAACTCAAAAAATTAAACGAATCGCCAGTGAACAAAATTCACAATTCAAATTGAAAAAATTGCATCTACAGTCATCTGATCTAATTTGCCCCTTCTTGATCCAGGTGAAAAGATCTCTCCAATTGAAGTAGATTCCGTGCTTCTGTCTCACGTCGACATTGCTCAGGCCGTCGCCTTCGGAGTCCCCGATGAAAAATACGGCGAAGAGGTATGAAAACGTACCGTTGATTATCCTCACATCCGATCGATTCCGATCAATTCACTAGTGATTTGCATTCTAACCGATGCTTCTGCAGATCAATTGCGCTATAATTCCAAGGGAGGGAAGTTCAATCGACGAGGCGGAGGTGATGCGATTTTGCAAGAAAAACCTAGCCTCCTTCAAGGTCCCGAAGAGAGTGTTCATCACCGATTCCCTACCAAAAACTGCTACCGGGAAGATCCAACGCCGAATCGTGGCGGAGCATTTTCTAACTCCGATCGCCGCAGCCGGAGCTTGATCTGATTGGGGGGGATTGAAGATTGGCGTATGCTCCGGTTTTCTGCGATTAATTTCGTCCATTGGAAGTAGAAGCCGTGAGGGCGTTACGTACGTAGGATGTGAGGCAGTGGACAGAGTCACGAGAATGGGCATTGTGGGAATTATGTAGTTTTTATATTTTTTTATTTAATGAAAAAAAAGGAAATACTATAGTTTGAAAATATTTGAAAAACTAAAACTATGGTATGGTGCGTTTGTAATTTTGTTCATGTCATATATAAATAAATTTGTCCTTTTAGCATGACGTATGGGGTCGAGATAAATATTTTAACAAACTTTTCTTTGTTATTTTTAGCCATACGCTCCAGTTATATAAATAAATTTGTTCACTTACATATTTACATTTAAATCTTTGAGATAAGAAACGTTTTTTTTTTATATATGGGAAAATTTAGTATTCTTTTGAAATTATAAATACCGAAATGGATTTTTAATTAAGTGTAATATCACAATGTTTATCTATCAAGATCAAAATAGTATTTTAAATTTTTTTTAGTACAAAATAATGTGGCATGGAAATTCGAACTCAGGTTATTTTCATCCGAGATTTGTATTTTTAAATTGATAAATAATTTTAGATCCTGATATTACAATAATATTATTTCATATGTTTATTGTGATAAAGAGAGTCGCAAAAATCTTACTATTTTCCGAAGGAGGTATAGTTATCTATCTTTTCTGTTTGTTTCTATTATATTATGTTATTGTTAAAAAATAATAATACTAAAATTTATTAAATCACTGAGAGGGTAGAAAAAGTCAGCTTTAATTGATTAAAAATATTTAATATCTCAATAATTAGTTAGGCAGTAAATAGTTAAAATCTATATAAATGTTGATGAATATATCAAATTAGTTATCAAGAAACCAAATTTTGTAAAATAAAATTTTTAGAATAAATTTCTAATTAGTTATTACCTTTAGACTTGGGTGTTTCAATCAATATTGAAATTTAATTCTTTGCATGAAATTCGTATTTATTATTTGACTTTTTAATATTGACAGTTAATTCTTTGCTCAAAATTCGTATTTATTGTTTGACTTAGTTTTATAAGGAGTTAAATGTAATGAGAATTAATGGGAATGAAAATAATTGGAATGAAATAAATCGAATATTATTCATTTGATATTATTTACCATAAGTCCTTTGAATTAGAATTAGAAATATTTGATGTTGTTTATTAAAACTATCTCGAATCGAAATATGAATCAGATATAGAACAAACTCGTATACCATTTCGTTTTTTAGCTAATTATAAATAGTGGTAATTTTATAATTAGAAATTTTTTAAATTAAAATATTAACCATTTTTTATTTATTATAACAAATTATTTAATATTATTAATAATAAATAATTAAAAGAAAATTACATCAACTAAAATAATTTATTATTAAGACAATCATCATTTAATAAAATACTACTAAATTATATTATTATAATATTTAAAAATAATGAATCATATGTCAAATCGAACATAGCTTACATGGTTAAGGTATCTATCTTTAAAAAGTTAAATATAAATATAAAATATTTTATTATAAAATTACATCAACTACTAAAAATTATATAAATCTTTATTAGAAGAAAAATTATCAATAATATAAATGAAAAATAAATAAAAAAGTGTAAAATAATTCATTAAAAAGTTATGGATCTCAAATAAAGAAATAAAACTCCTCATTCAAAGTGCTTATCAAATTTAGGGGGGTCTCATCATTTGACTTCATCTTTAGATTCGGTAAACAAAAATGAATGAAAAATTTGATTCTAATTATTGGTTGCTATAAATATAAATAATAATTAGGTTAAATTATAAATATAGTACCAAAATTTTGTGGATATATCTATAGACATAGTAGAGAATTTGAGAGTAAAATTTTTTTATTTTTACTCTCAAATTCTACTCCGTTAATTAAATTTTTTTTTCCCTCCTAGTACTACGCCTGACTTAAATGCCGGCATATTATGGTAAATAGTGCGTAATGGAGTAGGTGAGCTAAATAAAAGAGATGGATTGGCTAAAAATTTTGGTTTAAAATGCACTTCACATGCCTATTCCATCAAATTTCACCAGTTTACTCATCAATCAATATGTCACTTTCAATATCAGTAATATTTACAAACAACAAGAACACGATTGCTGTTTCACAAAAAGAAAAAGAATTCGATTGTCAAAATTAAAGTGATCGAATTTTGTGATTCAACGTCATAAGTACATAGTGCGAGAGGCTTGCCACCTTAAAGAGGTTTGAACTATTTTGTTGATGGAGACAAGTCTTGGAGAACCTTTAATTTCCTAATGAAATTAGATATGACATTGGGGTTAGGCCATGCTACTGCTTATGTCGTTGAAATTAATTAGTTCCCACTTTTGGGATCAATAGCAAAATTTGTGCATTTTCACATGTATGTTTTTAACCAAATGATTGAACACATGGGAAACATAATGATTAATTCAAGCATAGTTTAATGCCTAACATATTTGGATATCTAAAAAAAAGTATATAAGATATTTGTTATCATCCAAAATGTTGATAGTTGAATTCTTTAGATTCGTAAAACATATTCTTCACCGTTAAATTTTTTAATAAGTAGAAGAGAGGAATGAAAAAGGTGATAGAAGAAAGATTTTTCTTTTCCTCCTTTTTTTTTTACCTCATAGGATTAAATAGTCAATAAGAAATTTTATTGGAAATAAGAAATTTGATGTGGCCCAATCAATAGAGAAGTACTATTGTTATTATAAGAGATAATGTCTTGGACAGTTATTTTAGAAATTTATTTTCACAAATTTACAATGTTTACAAATTTTACAGTTTTAGATTTCTAGATTTAAAACTTTTTCCAAATGTCAAATTTACCCTTATTTATGTCATTTATATTTATTATAATTAATCTTTTATTTAAATACAAAAATTAATATTCCAAATTTGATTTTGTAAATATTAAATTATTGTAGTCCTAAATCAATCATTCTCATAATTCTCCAATTTACTCCTTAACATATTCTGCTAAAGAATATATATTCTACTCAAGAATAAAATTTATTACAAAATATTCAATTATTCTCATAATTCACAAATTTATTCCTTAATATATTCTACTAAATAATGAAATTTAATACAAAATACTTTTTTCATTTCATTACAATTTTTGGCCAAATTTCAATAATATAGTCATTATAACATACACTTATTTATTTATATATATATATATATATATATATATATATATATATAAAAACTATATCTGACTACCTTTTCATTTATATGAAAATATAAACTATATCTGATTATAAACTTAAGCAACATACACTTAACAATTGTGATATAAATTATAGTCATTATAACATATACTTATATTTGAGATATAACATATATCTAATTATAAAGTATATACGACTATATCACTCTGCAAATTAACAAACAAAGCAAATAACCTACAACCCTTTCGGTCGGCGACTAGACAATGATCAAGATAAACGGAAGGCTCGAATGGTCGACGGGTGGCCGGTGACAGAAAAGAAACATCGGGATAAAAGGACGGAAACAATGGACGGGCTGCTGGAGACGAAGGAGAAGCTAGACGGACTATTCCGGCAACGAAGAAGAATGGAGGCGACAGTTGGAAACGAGGGAACGCAGAAGGCGACCGGAGACGAAGGAATGAATGGAAACAAAATAACAGAGGAAGAAGAAAAGTCGGAGGGAGGAGGTTTTCAAATTTTTTCAATAACGGAGGATTTTGGGATTTGATATTTTTTACTTTTAAAGGTCTAATTAGGCAAAATTTGAGGGATTTAAAATGTAATAACCAATTTTGAATTTTAAAAATTAATTAATATTGAAGTGAGATATAAAAGGATATGTTAGTAAATTTAGTGATGGACACCATCTTAAATAGAATTGTTTCATAAGTGTAAATTTTATATCATTCGATCCTTTTATATAATTATATTGTCTAAATAGTCTATTAATGTACTAAATCTCTTATTATAAAAAGCTCAATTTCATTATATTATGTCATAAAAATTATATTTTTATTGACCGATAAATTTCCGTCAATCATGAATCTTCACATGTCACTTTTATGCTTGTTTGATACACAAGCTACCTTGATCAAATTGGGTCATACGAAATTTGGGCCCATAATCAAATGAACCCAAAACCTAACAAATGGTCATAACCTCGACTGCACCTATTTTAAACTAAAAATTTGATTCGCCACCTCGTCCAAAATCCAACGCATCCTCAAAACTAATTCGAAAGAGAAAATTTTCATTCTCCAGAATCATTCTCCATCTCATCCAAGTAGAGTATGTGTAGAAAAAAATTATTTTTTGAGGTAAAAAAGGGGTTTATCCCTGCAACTAGTTCGGTTTGTTAGAGAAGATCTTATTAAATATAACCACCAAATTAAGTGTCATTCTAAAGATGGAAGGGAGGCATTGGATTCCACCAATTCAGCTGTACCTTTTTAATTTTTTTAATATTATTAATTTTTATCTTTTACCGAATTTAAATTTTCAAAAAAATAAATAATATATTAACCAATTGAACTATTGATAAAAAATATTAAGTTACGTTATATCAGCCGTATATATCATTTAAAATAAGTTATTAAATTCATAATGATATATAAAATAGTCTCTAATCTTTTAAGTTTTTCTCATCTTGATACTTATTTTTTTTTAAATTATTAATTTTACCTTTAACATATACGAGAAATTATAAATTAAGTTCAATTGTAAAAAAAAGATGATAAAATTTGTTAAAGAATACTTATGCATCATTAAATTATTCTTTTCTTGATATATTTAGATGGGCAGATAAGTAGGCATACCACTTAATCATGAGATTTTTGTTTAAAATATTACTAAAAATAAAATTATTAATTAAAATATTCCAATTCCTAAACTAATTTTTAAAATAATGCTATTTTAATTCCCCACGTTTCCTCAAAATGGGACTTTCAAGCTTCCAAGATTCATCCCAGGCCTCTCTCTCCCCCTCATTTATTCCTCGATGTAATCAATCCAAGCAATAAATTATAAAGATTGTTGAGGGTAAAATCCAGCCGGACGTGTGTCCACATTGGAGGGAGACGTATGATCGATCATATACGGTTATGTATCATATGTGGATACAGTTGAACAGGACCCGTGTCCACCCTCGGAGAAGCACAGGACCACATATGGTTACATACCATACCAAGAGGTAGCACGGGACGTACATTTCCGATACGGTAGGTGAGAGTATCACCAGCCAATTGCCAGGAACGTACGTCAATGACAGTCACCGTATCACGCGGCACGCCCTTGCCACCTCCAACCATCATCTTTCTTGGTAGGCCACCCGAGCGCATATAAGGAAGGATCCTCACCTTAAGGTGTCTTTGTCCTACTCCCTATTCTGATTACTAACTTGATCGTCAGAGTATTTTAGGCGAAACATCGTACCGATGTCGAGTTTTTGGTTGTAGGTCTTCTTGTTCTCAAGCAAAGTTACTCATCCGAGGGACGCGTGGCCTCCTCCAGAAATTCGCCGTCAACAAAGATAAAAATACAATATAACCTAATTCAAAACATCGGGGTGTTAGACATAAGATTTTGGATGAGGTGACGAATCGACTTCTAATTTGAAGTGAATATCCAGTTAACCGACCGAATACCACATCGGTGCAAGATTTATTTATAGGTCATAACAACTCATCACTTTGTCTAAAATCTTGCATCAACCAAAAGAGGTTGACAATCATTCTCTCAAAATAAAACAAATTCTCATCCTCTACTAAAAACATTCTCCATCTTGTTGTTGAAGTATAGTTTGTGAAAAATAAAGTTTTTTTTAGTCCATGAGAATGAAGGGAGGAGAATCAGTTTACCAAATTTTTGAAATAGGAATCAAATGGTGGACCCCTCCACTTTTTTCATTCTCACTGACTCATCACTTTTTATTTAATTGTTTTATACTTTCTTATTTCCTTTTCATTTATGCTCTGTTTTAGTAAAAATTTATATCATCTTTCTTTGATATTATTATAAAATATTTAACTTTTATTTATTTTTAAATTTTTAAATTTAATTTTGTCATTATTAATTAATGTTAGATTTTCTAAAATATGATTCATTTTTATTAATTATTATTAATAATAAAATTTAATAACATTATTCTTAAGTATTATTATAATAAAATTTAATAATATTTTATATTATATAATGATGGTTCTAATAAAATAGTATTTTAGTGGATGTAATTTTATTTTAATTATTTATTATTTATTAATATTAATATTAAATAAATTATTTTAGTAGAAAATATTTATTATCAATAATATAGTAATAAAATACATTATTATTGTAATTAAAAAATTAGCACCACATATTTGTGATTAGTTAGAAAGAAGATATGGGTATACTAGTAATTGTCATATATTTGATTCTAATTTCGATTACAGACTCATTTTCATTCCAATTCATTTTCATTCCAATTCCTGGTAGGTAAACAAGATCTAGTTAAAAAAATTGGTTTATCCCTCCAACTTAATTTATTTTGTTAGAGAAGAAATTACTAAATGTAACCACCAAATTACATGTCATTCTAAAGATATGAGGGAGGCATTAGATGCCAGCATTTTGTTTTTTATTTTTATTTTTGTCTTTGTATTTTCACTCTAACCAGAACAACTTCACCTTCTAATCCTTGACTTCAAAGTGTTAGTTGTAGCGCTACCACGCGGATCTAAAAAAGATCTTATCCGTTTTAAACAAAGGGCGTTAGAGGACGTTTTTCATTCTTTAGCATTTCCAAAGTCAAAGTCGCAGACGGAGAAAGCTACCGGCCCAAAACCTTTGACCCTTCCTTCTAAATGGGGTGTCTGGAGCACCTCATCTTCTTCGACAAAAGTCGAATAACAGAAGTATGACAAAAAAAGGGGTCCCATGACCTGGACAATTATCCCTACCTTCCCTAACTTACGGAGGTAAATAATATATCGATTGGTTGAACTATATTCATGGCATAAAAATTGAATTATATTTATATTAGCAATACCATATAATTTAAATAAGATATTAAGTTCATAATTAAAATGCTACAACATAAAATACTCCCTATTCTTTAAAATTTTTCTCAAATTGGTTCTTAATCTTTTAAAATTCTTAATTTTACCTTTAATGTGTATTAAACCTTCAAAGTTAGGTTATTACATAAAGAAAAATATTATAAAATTTGTTAATATAATGTTTAAGCATTATTAAATTATTATTTTCTTTAAGAAATTAATTTTATTAACGATCAAATCTAATTTTGTTAATAGAAAGTTGAGTTTCGCAGCTTGTAATTGAACAAGCAAGTCTAATTTTGCTAATAAGAAATTGACTTTCCTGTGTCCAAGTAATATTAAGTAGCATATTCTTGTGTCCAAATATATTAATAAAATAATATTTAATAATACATCAACTTTTTATTAGTAAATTTTAATAATTTTTTTACCTAATTAGAATTTTATAATACATCAAGAAAATCAATAATCTTAGAGTAAAATGATCTGAATAAGTTACGAACAAACAAGCAATATATTTAGTTTATGTCAATACGAACCTAACTGCGGTAATTGGCATAACTTTTTTCTTGGACGTCGGGGGTTGGATTCCCCTATGTTTGAATTATTGGTACCAAACAATATATATTTAGTTTGATTAAAAAGTAGTTACTATTTTTCAATCGCGTTGACTCACTCCCGAAACGGCATCGTTCAGCCGGCTCCGAGGGAGGGGGAAGGAAGCCGGACGGGAGAAGAGAACCGCATTTTCAACTCTGCAAGAGAGATTGACTGCCTTCTCTATCGGAAGAAACGCGCAATCTTTTGAGTAAGTTCGTGGAACTTCTCTGAATTTATGTTCCTAATTTTCATTGTTCTGCTTTAACAGAAAATTTGAATGTGGACTCTGTAAGTAAGCGAAGAAATTGAGTGCCGAGATCTCAGGCTTAGTTCTTGGTTATTGATATTTTTTTGTGGTGCCTGGTAATTTCGGATGGACTTATTTTCCAGATTGAACTGAAATGGGATGCGTTTGATAATTGCATCCACTTCGACTTTTATGTTTACTTTAGAAGAAACAGAATCCAAATTTTATCTTGGAAATGTTTGAGCTGATGGTTTCTTGGGGTGTGTTTGGATGGCATCGGGAAGAATTAGTAATTTAGAGTGTAAGTATAGCTTGTTTGTGAGATGATTATTCAAAGTGATTGATACTCTTGTATTTTAAACACTTGAGAGATGATTATCCAGTGAAAAAGTGACTAAGTTAAAAGGTACGTCGAACTCATAGTTAATCATGATGAGTTAATGGAGATAGCTCAGGAGGGAATGTTTGTTCATGTTTGAACTGTATTAATTAATGAGTTATAGCTAGTTGAGTTGACCATGTGGAATGACTCCGTACTCAGTCCTATTTACGATAAGAATGGTCGACAACGTCCCATTATTTTCATTTTTCATATCCGTATAGTGCAAAATGAAGGAAGACACATGTTTGTTTCATGAGTTTTTAATTATGGAAAAGTAAATATTTAGTTTGAGAGATTGTGTGTTGAGATCTATACTTGGGATAAGTAAATTGACAACTCGAATTTACAACTCTGGGCTATACAACTCACCTTTTTTATATACCTAAAAAGCTTTAGGCAACTCAACATGTCATTGTAAAATGAATTCATTTTATAATAAGAAGTGTCGCAGGCCCAGATTTGATTGATAAAGTCAATTCAGTTGCTGGGTCATTGCCAAATGGAATCTCTTTGCCTTAAAATGGAGGGCCATTTTCTTTTGTAAACTATGAAAACTCATTAAATATGCTGCTAAAATGCGGTTTTGTTTTTCTAATAGTAATTTGAATCAACTGAGCACTGTTCTTGCTTTGCTCTCAGGGTTGCAGCTTGCTGCTGAATTTCTTTCATTTGTTCTTCTTGGTGGTGGTAAAATGAATGTGGAGAGTCACGACAAGAAGAAAGAGTATGCTGCTGATATTTCATCCATCAAGGAAGCACGGCTACGAATCGAGCCTTTCATCCATCAAACCCCAGTTTTGACTTCTGAGTCTATTAATGCTGCTTCAGGAAAACAACTTTTCTTCAAATGTGAATGTTTCCAGAAGGGGTGAGTGTACCTTAATCAATGGTGAAAATAAGTGTTCTGATTCAAATGGTATTGTGATCTTTACAATGCCGCCATACTAAATTAATGGATCTTTTGGCTTATTTATAGTAAAGTTCCAGAACTTATTTTTAATATTGGTTATTCTTGAAGAATATATTGTAAAAGTGTAGTATCTTTTGGCCAAGTTAAAAACCATCCTTTGAAGGAAAAGGATGGCGAATAAGAATCCACCTTTTGGAGAGACAGCCTTAAAATTATCTCTTTAAGAAGTAATTGTAGATATTTTTTCTAAAACTGTCTCCCTTTGATTCATAAAGTTAATACGAAAAGGTGTTCATACATGGAGCTTTTTGGTCTTTTGCCAAGAGCACACTCACTGTGCAATGGAATGTTCATTTCTTCTTCTTGTTTTTTTTTTTTTCTGGTCAAATTCCATTGCAAGATTGGGTACCTATTACATTCTCAAATAAGTTTGGAAGAATTTAGTACATAGAAAAGAAAAGCCATTGTTTCTAGTGGAAATATCTAATGCTTTCTTATATGGGTATGTCAGTGGAGCTTTCAAATTCAGAGGTGCCTGCAATGCTATATATTCACTTGATGATGATGAGGCTGCTAAAGGGGTTGTGACTCACAGCAGGTCTTCTCTTAACTAAACAACATACTTCTCTGAATCTTTTTAAGAATATTCAACTGATAATGCTTTCCAAAATTAGTGGCAACCATGCCGCAGCTTTGTCTTTGGCTGCAAAACTTCGAGGGGTCCCTGCATATATAGTTGTACCAGAAAATGCTCCCAAATGTAAAGTTGAAAATGTGGTACGTTATGGTGGTCAGGTTATTAGGAGCGGAGATGCGATATGGTCAAGGGAGACGACTGCCACGAAGGTTATGCAAGAAACTGGTGCGGTTCTCATACACCCATATAACGACGGGCGCATAATGAGGTAAAATGTTTTCTTTGTTTTGTTCGACTGACTTTTTGAATCTAGTGGTAATGTAACATTGAATTAGATCAAGAGAAATCAAGCCTAATGTTCTAGAATGTCACGTTGTCTCTATTTCATATTGGTAGCCTATGTGTTAGGTTTATAAATCAAGATTAGTATTTGATCCCATACGTGAGGAGAGTGTTAAAGAATGATGTGAGAAGGTTAAAATTTTGCTAACTTTACTACTTAAGTCTTTGGATTTAGTGATAATTTAGGTCTCATTTGATAATCATTTATGTTTTTTATTTTTGATTTTTTGAATTTTTGCTTTATGTTTTTAAAAAACAAAAACCACACATATTTGATAACTATTTTTTGTTTTTTGTTTTTTATTTTTAAAAATAGAGAATAAAAAACAGTTATCAAATAAGTTTGATTTTCTATTTTTCAAAATATTAAAAGAGTCAAAGAGATAAAAATCCATATATAGTAGAGATGACAAAGGAGCGGGATTGGGGATGTCCTCCCCATCTCAAGTTCATGGGGATTTTTAATCCCCTTCTCTGTCTCTGTCCCATTCCTCAATTCGGGAAATCAACATTGGGGTCGAGGAATCCTCGTTCGGGACGGGATCCTCACAAGAAAGATTACTCATTTAGTAATTAATTTTAAATTAAAATTTAAAATTATTTATAAATTTATATCAATTATATTACGACATGAAAAAATTGATATTTATAGGGTTCTTTGATGGCCATCTCGTTTTTAGTTTTCTGTTTCTAAAAATTATGCTTTTTTTTCCCTTGTTGTAGAACTTTCATTGGTAAGTTTTTCACCTCTCTTGAAAATATATTTGAATTCTTAGCCAAATCACACAAAGAAAAACAAGTTTTTGAAAACTACTTTTCTTGGTTTTCATAATTTGACCTAGATTTTGAAAATGTAAAAGTTATATAACAAAAGAAGGAACATATGTGTGAAAGTAATGTTTCTAAACTTAATTTTTAAAATAGAAAACTAAAAACAAAAGGATTATTAAACAGGTCGTAGTTTTTAAGCATTTATTTTTGTTTTTGAAACTTTGGCTAAAAAATTAAATGTCTTCAAGAGAGAGGTAAAACTTACTAGTGAAATTGTACAAAAAGCATAAGTTACAAAACTAGCATAAGTTTAACAAGCAGAAAACTATGAACGAAATTGTTATGAAATGCACCTTAGTCTTCAAAATCCTGCTTAGTATTTTGAAAATTATTTTTAAAAGTATATAGAACAAGGAAACATGCAGTAAGAAGTAATGTTTATAAGTTTTAAGTTCTAAAAACATAATGGTCCATACAGGGCCTAAAAAAACATAATCTATCTTTACTCTCAATGAATTCTGTAGGTTGATTTTGAATCTATTCTTTCATTACAAAATAAAACCAAGTGTTCATAAGAAGAACTCGGTTTTGCTCTGCATGTCGAATTGTTCTTGCAGCGGGCAAGGTACGATCTCTTTGGAGCTTCTGGAACAAGTCCCTCAACTAGACACTTTAATCGTTCCCATAAGCGGTTCGTTTGATCGGATCTTTTTATACCTTCCATTTTATATTTTGTGCTCCAAATGGGACTATTTTCTGTCTGAAACCCCTCACTACACCATGTAAATGCAGGTGGCGGTTTGATATCAGGAATTTCAGTGGCTGCAAAAGCCATCAATCCTGCCATCCGGATTTTTGGTGCAGAACCTAAGGGAGCTAACGATGCAGCCATGTCAAAAGCGGCTGGTAAGATAGTAACACTGGCAGAGACCAACACCATAGCCGATGGTCTTCGAGCTTTTCTTGGTGACCTTACTTGGTAATATAGGCATTTCGTTTTTAGTTTTATGTTTTAAAAAATTATGCTTGTTTTTGTTTTTGTATATTTTTATTAGTAAGTTTTAAAAACTTTCTCTTCAAAACATATTTGAATTTTTAGGCAAATTTTAAAAATAAAAATGAGTTTTTGAAAACTACTTTATCTAATTTTCAAAATTTAGTCTAGATTTTGAAAATATTTATAAGAACTATATTAAAAAAAACAAAGGAACAAATAGATGAAAATTATGTTTATAAGCTTAACTTTAAAAAACAAAAAATCAAGTACAAAATGTCATCAAATAAGGCCATAATTTTTACGTTGTTTAATTTTTTGTTCGCCTTATAACTATTGGGGATTGCCCTAATGATCATTGGGGTCGATGAAAAAAGTAAAGGGTTTATAAAGGAATAGGTCCAAACCATGGTGATCGGTCACCTTAAATTTAATACCTTATGAATAATCTTGACAACTAAATGTAGTAGAGCCAAGCGGTTGACAGTTGTCTTGTGAGCACATAAATTGACCCGGACACTTACGAATATCAAAAAGAAAATTTGTTATTCTAGAGCATTTTAGCTCCTGGGTTAGATTTGTACTATTTTGGACTAAAAAGTCAAGTCTATGTTTGATACACAGGTTTGCTTATTTTAGGTTATTGGTTTGCTAAACTCATGGTTGCATCCTAGGCTTATAAATTCCACTTTTGGTATTATAAACTAACTTTTACGTATCATAAACTCAAGAACCAAATATAGGTTTCTATAATAGATTCGTTTGTATAATCTAAACACAAGCTTCATAAGTCCAAGTTTCACCATCCAAGGCTTGTTAGCTAATTCATCATTCGGGTAGAATTACCTTAAAACTTCTTGTGTACATGGTTTTCATTGTAAATGCAAGAATGGAATTCTTGTACTTTGCTTGATTGGTTAAAAACCTTAAAAGATCTCTCCTGTTTTCTATCGATTACATTCATCCCTTGATAACTTTGATTCCTAATTGATTGGTCAGGCCCGTAGTTCGAGATTTGGTCGAGGATATAATAACCGTGGAGGATGGGGAGATAGTTGAAGCCATGAGAGTTTGTTATGAAGTGCTGAAAGTTGTTGTGGAACCAAGTGGGGCAATAGGCCTCGCTGCTGTTCTCTCTGATGGTTTCAAGCAAAACCCTTCATGGAAGGACTGCAACCATATAGGGATTATACTTTCAGGAGGTAATCTTGACCTTGGTATGCTATGGAATTCATACGAAAAATGATGCTCGATTCTAGATTGTCTCTGCTTTTCGTGTGAGCCATCTATTTGATGATTCAATTCCCTGCTTTATGATGTGAAGTAATATTATGGTCGCTCGCCTTGGTGAACATTGAACAGGAAGTGCTGCAATTTTTTTCTTTTTAACTTTCAAGATGGAAAAAGCTTATTTTTTCACTTTCTCAAACTTGGGAATGCCTGGAGTGACTTTTGATGCCTTAATCAATTAACTATGTTTAGATTGATGCAATTGTAAATCTTTATATAGTTATAAGTTGCTTTTGAAAGATTGTTTATATGTTTGAACTTGAATTTTAACACGCCAACAATAATATGGACTTGAAAGTACCTTAATTTCGTGAAGAAACCAATTATTAGTAAACTAGTAATTTATTATTATTATTATTATTTTTTTGACTTCTGGACACAGGACGGCTTGAATTTGGATCTTCAAACCTCTTGCCACTGCGCCAACACCCGAAGGTGCAGTAATTTATTATTATTATTATTTTTTTTAAAATTCAACATGTGAAAGTAGATATTCGAACTTTCAATATTTTAGTTGATAAATATATACTTTAATCAGGTGAACTATGTTAGATTGACGGTAATTTAATCTTTTCAAATTATGGTATATTTGATACTTTCTCTGATGACATGATGAGTAGAAAATAAAATACTATATAACCTAGGTATAATTTAACAATTGAGGAACTAAAAACCTTTTCTGGAGACTGAAGGTCTATGATTACAAATGTTGTATTCTTAAGAAATAAATAAAAAAATAACTTTTGGATTACCTTGGAATTGAAGAATGATTCCATTTAGCTCCTAAATCGTTGAAAAAGTAAAACACCTTTGAAGTTTAGAAAATGGTATTAAGTTAAATATATGATATTCATTAAAATTGATTTTTCTTAAAAAGAAATATTACATTAATTAAAAAATAAAAGGTAAATATTTGAATCTAACCTACCCAATTAAATTTAAATAAAATTGATTTTAGTGACATTTAAAAAATAACATAAAATAAATATAATATAGTAGAAATTTTAAAATATAAATATAAATACCTTAAACAAAGTTAAATTTATCTATTTGAAGAAAAGTTTTGATATTTTTTAAAAATACATTGCTGTCGAGTAAAATTTATCTTTTATATTTTTTGACTACATGCCAAATAAAACAAACGGAAAAGGAAAATACAACCAACAAAAAGGAAAATTGAAAAACTAAAGCAAAAAAAAAAAGAAAAAAAATTCTTTTTAAGGTTTGGGTATGATTAATTTCCCTTTTCCGATATTAAGTTCAATGCGACGACGTTTAAGTCGTCTCCTCATAATAGCAGAGTTGCTCCAGTTTCTAGGGTTTTAGGTTCTTCAAACTCTCGCATTCGTACTTACACTGCTTCGCGCGGTCATGGACAGCCCTTCTCCAGCTTCATGCTGGAGCAATGTCGTCAAATCCCAACCAGCTCCGAAGCCTCAGCACCAGACTCCGACTTCAACCGTCAAAGTATTCGCCGACAGCTGCAAGTCCAGTAAAGGGATAGCGGTCGCCGTTGTTGATGCCAACGCCATTATCCAGGGGGGAGAGAGGCTCTCCACCTGCGCGGATAAATTTGTTTCCGTTCCCGAGGTTTTGGATGAGGTCCGCGACCCCGTGTCTCGCCACAGGCTCGCCTTCGTCCCCTTCACGCTCGAATCCATGGATCCCTCCCCTGAAGCACTCAATAGAGGTAGACTTTCGAATTCTAGTCACCCCTCTCTTCTTTTCTCCTCTGTGGTGCGCTGATTGTGTTGTTGCTTCAAAGTTGAACCCATTTTTGTTTATGGGACCGGTCTGCTGTTAGGTTTAGAGTATGCTTATAATCCCACCTTCCACTAATCTAAAGAAGGCTTCACCTACACTAACGTCAGGGAGAGGTAGCAAGGGATTTAAGTTATTAAGGACTCGTTTGGTAGAGTTATTGATTTTTGTTTCTGTTTTCTCCGAAAAATATAATTGTACGAGCCCAACACCTATGGATTCAAGAATGATAAAATTATATTTTTATTTATGTTTTGAAACAAATTGAAAAAAAGAACAATGTTTCTCATGTTTCTAAAATTTTGAGGATGTTTTGAAAAAATGAGAAACAAGAAACTTAAATAGTTGTGAAATGTTAGGTTTATTATAAAATTGGAACGAGAAATAAGAAACAAAAATGGTACCAAATGGGTCTTTTAAGTTTTCGACTAGATTCTATCTCTAATATCTCAAACCTTTACCACCGTGGCACCCATGGATGAGAACCTTATTCATAACAATTCTGTAGTACTTGTAACACCGGCCATATTTGAAATAAATTTGAAGCATGCAAGTTATAGCCTATAGTTAGATGGTAGTTTTTTGAATCTATCTTTCACACCGGAGTACTATGTACTGACTAACGTATCATTATCATCTTGTGCATACCTTGTTGCCACCGTTCTTATACATTTTATTTTGAATTTACAGTAATCAAGTTTGCAAGGGCAACTGGTGACTTACAGACACTTTCAGATGTTGATATTAAACTTATTGCCCTCACTTACACTCTAGAGGCTCAGATCCATGGGACGAAACATCTTCGTGAGTGTCCTCCCCCTGTCCACATGGTTAATACAAAGAGATTACCTGAGAAAGACATGCCTGGGTGGGGCTCTAATGTTCCGAATCTGGAAGAGTGGGAAGCGTTAGAGCAAGGTGCTGATGATCCATCCTACTCCACGTCAAGGATCCTTCCTTTGCAGGATTTGAACTTGAACATTATCCCTTCAGATGGCCAATCTGAAGATCTTTCATCACAGCATAAGGATGAGAATAACTTTGAGCATCAAGATGAAACTGAGACTGGTTCAAGATTGAGGAGATATCCTCCGAAGAAAAAGGAAATTAATATTGAAGGGAAGATGGTAGCAGATGGTATTGATGCATCTCAGGGACAATGTGATAATGATGCGGGTGACTGGATGCCTGCTGTCAGTCGAAGTACTCAGAGAAGATATCTTAGGAGGAAAGCTAAACGTGAATATTATGAGTCCTTAGCTGAAAAGGATAGTCAGCAAGACGTTGAAAGCATAGGTGGTGACATCCAAGTGGAAACTAATAGATTAGATCAATCACAGGATCAAATCTCCAAACTATCAAATACTGGAAATGGTAATGATAGTCAGATGGTAGAAGGGACAGACAACAATAAAGACCTTTCAGAAATCATGAAGCAGATGAGGCTGGAAGAAGATTCGTTAAATGCTCTTCATGTGGAAGGGCTTGACTCTTCCCCAAAAGAAGAGTCTGACAAAAGCGAGGTGGAGGATGTTGAGAGTATGAACGATACAGCAAAGGATGAGATGGAACACTTAGAAGACTCAAGTAAGACTAATGAAAGCGTAGATACATCAAATGTAGATGATGTTAGTAGTGATCAGAGTTGGATGCTGAGATCCTTGTCTGAATCAAGCGTAGCCTGCATAACTGGTGACTTTGCAATGCAGAATGTTCTTCTGCAGATGGGTTTACGTTTGTTGGCTCCAGGAGGAATGCAGATCCGCCAACTTCATAGGTATGCCGTATGTACATTTAGTGGGTGATTTGATATTATTTTCTCAAAATTTTGTTAACTCATCCTATTAATTATTTTTAAATCAAACTTGATCATCCAAGTAATACAATTGAATTCACTCCCTTTTATGACCACCCTATGAGTTTTGAAAACCATCCAACACCGTCTTCCCCCAACCTTGGTTGAGTTTGGTGTTCGTTCCATATCAATTCTCGCCAGCTTTCAGGCCAATGAGTCAGTGTAATTACCTTATATATTAGATTAGTAGTTTGTTGAAGTCATCATGCAATTATATAATGCTAAAATCTTCACTATGTGTTCTGCAGGTGGATTTTGAAATGTCACGCTTGCTACAATGTCACAGCTGAAATTGGAAGGATCTTCTGTCCAAAGTGTGGAAATGGTGGAACTTTGCGCAAGGTAGCTGTTACGGTTGGCGAGAATGGAGTTGTTTTAGCTTCCCATAAGCCGAGGATTAGGCTGCGTGGCACGAAAGTGAGTATCTCTGATTGTTGCCCTTCAGAATAATGTCTAATCTCATTCGCACTTCTTTTAATCGTCTTTCTCAATGGTCATTTAGTTTGGGAATAGAAACATCCATATTTACTCGTGGATAATATGATAATCAGTGTCTTGTTTGGTATTTGCTCTTCTCCCACAGAGCCACTGATGAGGCATGATTTCAAATTATTTACTTTTTAACAAAAGGCCTTGCTAACCACCACCATCTTGAAATATTTTCTTTTCCTTTTATGTGCAGTTTTCACTTCCTCTACCGCAAGGTGGAAGGGACGCCATTACCAAAAATCTTGTTTTACGTGAAGATCAACTCCCGCAGAAGTTTCTTCACCCCAAGACCAAGAAGAAAGTGAATAAACAGGTTACTTTAAACCGAAATTGCCTTGCTTTTCTCTTGTTCTGGTCCGTTGTTTTGGTTTATATGTGATAAGATATTGTTACGTTTTCACCTGACCTTCACGACCAAGTAATCTCCAGTTCCACTTTCCATTTTCAGGGAGATGAATTCTTCGCCGTGGATGATTTCTTCAGCAACCATAATACTGATAAGAGAGCTCCTTTGCAGCCTCCCGTGAGGCAGGCTTTGGCAGTCTTTAGTGGCAAGAGAAATCCGAATGATAACCATTACTCTCGATCTAAACACAAGTAGACTATACTTCATGGATTTTGATTTTCAGTGCTGTTTTAATAGATTTGATAATTTTGATGAATCCTCATACATCTTATGTGATTGAGTTAATGCATGGAAGCTATAAAGCTCAGCTTATATGGGTGCAATTTTGTCCTGAATTATCTTCAAAGTAGTATTTGTTGGATCTGCTTATATTTATTTGCGACACTTTTAGAGTGCTTGATTTAGAGATGTAATCTGAACAGCATTTCCAGTAAATACTTGGTTTCATATTTACATTAGCAATGTTGTTGCTTTTTTTTTAACGTTATTGACATCTGCAAAGGATGTAAATCACAATGTATAACTGATAAAATGTAGGGAGGAAGAGAAACAAGAAATAGCAGAGAACAAATTTGTTCAACTGCATTCATGAATTTTGATTAAATGACACCCTCTGGCTCTGATCAAAGCTATTGTGATATTGGCATACTTTTTGTGCTAGCAGTTACAACTTCCTCTAGGATTGAACATGTACAAGGAATTTAGAGACTTAAAAGAGAAAAAGAAACAAGAGAGAAAGAGAGAGTATTACACCTCTATATGTCAAATTGTTTGTGTACACTTCTTCTATGAGAGTGCAAGTTCTGCCCATGCCAAAGAAGATGCCTTAAACTCGATGGCAACAGAGGTGTCAATTCTAGTTTCTAGCATGGTACAGAGTTCCTTCATCGATAGCGATTTGCTTGGCTGCGGATGGATACAGAGGTTCACCACCTCACATATAACCTCGAGGTCTTCATATCTAAAATGCTTCAGTTCAGGATCGACCACGTAAGACATCACTTCTGGCATTTCAATATAGTCCTTGGCCTGTATGGGAAAGGTTTTTATTTTAGTTGGATTGGTTCAACCCATCTGAGAGTTTATTCTTAAGTACAGTTTCTTACCCAATCTAACAAATTCCCTTTGTCCTTGCAGTACAGAGGCCGACCACTGATTATTTCAAGTAGAAGGACGCCGAAAGCATAGATGTTACCTTGCACGTCGAGATGACGTGCTTCTAGAGAGTTTGGAAGAACACATATTGCACCTTGGCTACCAATAGCACCCGAGTTCTTTTCGGACCGTGAAAGAATTGTCTTCCAACTTTCGAAGTCTATCAGCTGAAATTCAACAGAACTAACATACTAAACAAACTCGAATTCTGAAGGCTCAATTCGACATTAAACCAGCACAAAAGGCGAAATGTTATTCAATCGCTGTATTAGATAACTTCTACATTTAGTACTTCAGGTTTCGAATCAGCTTTTCATGTACAAGACTGAAAATGTAAACAAGGACATGAGATTTACCTTGGGGAAAAAATCATCTGTAAGGTATACGGCATTGGAATTCAACAGAGAGATGGTGAATGGAGGTTGGAGTTCTGTATGAAGATACTTCAGTCCGCGGGCGATGCCTAAAATAATCTTCATGCGCCTCGTCCAAGATAGCTGACATGCTTCTCCGTCTGCACTCATTGTACGGCGGTAAATAACACGAACATATGATAAGAACTCTAAAAGATTAGGGAAAAATAATTGAAAATGTTGGCGTACAATGTAGATGCTCGTATAAAGTGCCATTTGATGCATACTCAAAAACCAGCATCCTTGTAAATGGACTACTCTCTCGGCAATAACCAAGTAGTTTTCCTGTATTCTCGTGGTTGATTCGCGCCAAATCTGCCACCTAAATGGATACTCGAGATGAAAACTTAACTTGAAAATTATCATCTAACAGTCATTAGAGCCAAATCATTTCCTTGTCATTGATAGAAAACAGTACCTCCGTCTGAAAATAGAGTTCAAGGTATCCTGTCCATTGCTCTTCTTTCATGCTCATTGAGATAACTGCGATCTCAGGTCCAGTTTTCATGGTGCCCTTGTATACCAAACTGTTGGGAGAGGATCCGATTATGTTGCTGAAGTCTTCACAAGCTAGTTCAAGCTCTTGTCGACTAAATCTCGTCACATCCTTTAAAATCTCAGGATCTGCACAGAAACCACAAAAATATCACAATCTTTTTCTTCCCAGAACGCCACTCTTGATATGTAATGCATTACGATAGAGGACAATACTTCCGACTTCTAGCTTTCTTTCCAACCAATATGATAAGGAAAAGGCGACGATAACGAACCTACATATACTGGAGCGTAGTACTTCCTACTTCCAACTTTCTTCCAGGGCAATATGATGGAGGATTTCCGATTGAATTTCTGGACCGCAGTGAGAACAGCAACTAGGAAGAGAGAACCCACCAAAGTTCCAGTTACTATCTCAAGGGCCAAGAGCCAGATAGGTTTCGACGTCGCTTGGTGATGGTTGGATATGTTATCCACAGCATGGTTCTGCCCGTTGCTCCCTTGATGGCTCTTAGCTGGTTGTTCAGGATCGATATAAGAATTGTAATCAGTACTAGTTACATAAGAAGCTATAAAGCATAAGATTTCTCTTCTATAAGTTCTCAAGCATTTCGAACCAGATGTTTGTTTTCCCCTCAGTAATAAGCAGCTATGAAATTATGAGGAATGTCACGCACCGCATTGCACAGAAGGACGCTGTTTGGGATTGTTTTTTTGGAGGCAGTTCCCTTGGAAACTTGACCTGCAGGAAGTAGATTAGAGGAGGAACTGAACTATCAAATCTAGAAAGAGGAAAGACCAAGAGATACCTTGGAAGATACCCCAAGCACTTGGGTATGCTCCCAACAAAGAAGTTATACGAAAAGTCGGCAAATTTTAGCTGAGACGACCGACAGAATCCAGTTAAGTTCGTGTTTGACACATACCTGAAACAATAGTATTACATAAGAAAAGAAAAAAACTAAAGGAAGGTTGGGGGAGAAAAGGCTAAAAAAATCCTTAAGAGAACTGTTTGGTAAGTTCCCATTTCACATTTCCTGCTTCTTACATGCACATTAAGTAACTTTTCTTGTTCCTTTGTCCATTCCATTTTTCAATAAAGCAACCAGAAAGAATTACCCAACACATTTCAGCATTTAACATGAAAAAAGAAATAGAAAAGTTACGGATGACTCTTCATTCCTTGTTTCCTACAACGTAATAAACTCGACGACCGTACAGAACTCCAACATCCAGCAGTTTGTGCAAAACATGAAACTATAAACAAAAATACCTAGTAACAATCTCAGATCCATAAGAAAGGACTGACACTATGAGTTAGTCAAATCCTTCCAATGCAACAATGTCCACTTACAGTCCATGCATACTGGATGTAAGATCTGAATGGCCAACACCAGAAACAGTTCCTTCCAGCTTATTTCTATCCAGCCTCAGTTCCTCAAGGGATCTCAAATTTCCAAGCTCAGAAGGCAACTTACCAGTCAACCCATTAGACTGGAGGTTTCTGCCACAACAGCAAAGGAAGAAATCAAAAAGAAATCCATTTATGATTTATGGAAACCTCTGAGGAAGAGCAGCAAGTTGCCTATACATTTTCACAACTTTGGTTAACTTCCCAAACTCTGGAGGAATTGGACCTGTGAGTTCATTCACCCCCAAGTCCAAGACTCTGAGGTTCTTTAAGTTGCCCAACTCCTTTGGCACTGTACCAAGCAGCTTATTTCCATGCAAAATTCTACACCCATCAAATAAAATTGCACTTAAATGGTTGATATGAGAAGAGCAAAAAATTCAACAGAAGAGAATCTTCAGTGCTTTACAGTTCTTCCAAAAAGTTGAGTTGACCAAAATCTGATGGAAGAAACCCTCTTATGGAAGCCTGTGAAATGTTGCTGCAAAAGAAGAGTTCCAAACGTAAAGCCTTTAAGATTTCATTGACAATTTGTGAAAAAGAATGAGAATTCTCAATGGAGAAGAGGCCACATTCTTACATCTTTACGACATGGTCTCGAGTGGGAGAACATTTAATGCCAGACCAGAAGCAAGGATCTGAATCAAGGCTATTCCAGTTGGAGAAGACTTGCAATGGATCTTCAAATACTCCTAATTTGAAGGCTGTAAGAGCTGACACTGAACAAAACCAAGAAAGAAAATTCTCAAATCAGAGGGAATCCATCTGAACTATACAACTTTGGGACATTAGTGCAGTTACTAAAAATTTTCAGATGTTTCTTTTTGTTTCCTCAGAAGAATTGCAGGGTCAAGCCAAAACCCAGTTCCAATTTTACCAAGAGATAGTTCTACAGAAGTCCTAGATTGGAGAAAGAACTAAATTACAAGTAGCTTAGAGCATAAATTCAAAAGTTACTGAGAATGTGAGGAGGGAAACTAATTTTCTCAGCCAAAACATTTAGGGAAACAAGAATGGAGGGAAGAAGAGAGAGCCCACTCCAGAGTATCTAAAGTTTCCTAAATCTTTCCAGAACAATCTATACTGCAAACGTCCGAGCAAGTTTTTAACAGTTTAACTTTCTTTCCCCAAATTACCATTTTCTCGACGAAGCGAAGGGGGATTCCATTGGGGGAAATATAAAGAAACAAGATCTGAGGAAGCAGAGAGATAGTGGGACAGAGAAAATGCATACCTTCATTTGAAGAAAAAGAATCACAAGTCCCAAACAGAACCCCAAGAATTAAACAGAGGAGAAGCAGGAGAGAAGCAAACGATTCCATCTTCTCTCAGTTTCCACAAAAAAATCAAGAACCAGGTGCAGTTCACACTTCACATTCAGAGGAGAAAAAACCAAACAAACCCCCCCAAAAAAAAGAGAGATAAAGAAAACCCTGTAAAATGAAGATTTGGGTTCAGTAAAAGAAGCAATTACTCCACTCCAGTGGCAGGACAGAGAGCAGAGAGAGGGAAATTAGCTAAGATTGAACTTGTTTTTTCATCTCAAAAGTTGTCAATACAGAGCCAGAAGAAGAAAATCGAAAGATTGAGCAAAAACCCAGGAATGGAAACATGAAATAACAGAAGAAAAGATAAAAAAGTGGGGAAAACCCAGAACAGAAGAGATGTAGAAGAAGCTTTAGAATGAGAAAAGAAAGGAGAAGCAGAAAAAGGGAGTCTAAAGAAATGGATAGAAAAAAAAAGGGAGGAAACCAAAATGTGAGTGACAGATAGATGGGAGCAGAGAATGTTTCGTTTCCTTTCATTTTTTAGCGCTTAAAACTTGTGGATTTATGACTTTTCTTCTCTTCTTCTTCTTCTTCTTCTTCTTCTTTTTCTTCTTTTTTTTTCTTTCTAATTTTTCTTATTGAAGTAATGGAGATTTTTTATTGCCAATTATTTCAGAGCAACATCTCTATTCTCTCGAGATAGACAAGGGGTTTTTAAATTTAATTCAAATTATATGTTAGTTTTGAATATTTATTTATTTATCTCATTTGATTTTTAAATTTTAATTGTGTACTTTTTTTTAGTACAACACATGTCTGGAGGTGGGAACTCGAACACACAAATCTTTTTTCTTCTTTTTTTTTTAAATAAAGAATACACTAATAGCATGTACGTATACAATAATATGTGGAAGTGGGGATGTTTTAACTAGTTGAGTAAAATTCAGATTAACCATTAAACTTTTATATAGATTGCTTGCTTTTAAATTCAAGTGTATTTAATATATATGATTTAATATAATTTATTCTTTATATCTCGACCTTTTGGTTGGATATATATCTTAATCAGTTGAGCTATATTTAAGTTGGTAATTGTGCACATCTTTAATCTTTACTAATAATATTTTTAGAGCATCACGTAAAAAATGTGAGGATGAAGATTAAAAAGTACAAGTATTTAGACAAAATATATGCACTTTTAAATATTTGCTTACGTATATATATATGTAACTATATATATATATATATATATAAAACACTATGTTTGAGTGTGAATTCCAACTTCTGAACTTTTGGTTGAAGATATAATAGTTATACTCAAGCTAGTATAAAATTCTTTTTTTATATAATAAATAAACAGAAGTCTGTATATGTTAAATTTGTGTTATCTAATTTACTAATACTTAACGACAAGAATTAGATGCTTTCAATATCAGACAACTAAAATAAAATATTTTAAAGTTAAAAAGAGGAAGAAAATATTCAACTTAAATAGTGGAAAAGATGCATATATTTCATACCTTCTAGTGCATTGAACATTCAAATAGTGTCTCATCGATCTAATAGTATGGTATAAGATATTGAAAGAACATAACGTCTATTTAGATGTGATAATAACATCACCATCTCTTTGAATATTAGGTTAAACTTTATATCAAACATGAATATGAGCTTAAACTCTATATCAAACGGTTAAACATGTTGGGAATGTGGAGTCAAAACAAAAGCGGAACGAAGCAAGAATGAAGAAAATTAAAGAAGTCGATTGTAGGGCCATTCTGGCCGAGAGGACAGCTCCGCAGTGTTGCAATATAGCATCACAGTGTTGTCGCGATGGACGCTAGGCGAACAAAAGTCCGTAGCGACATGATGCTGTAGCGATATTATAAAAGAGTAGGTTAGGCGTTTTTAAGGCTGTGGTGACAAAATTAAGAAGAGCGACAACAACATTCAGTAGAGAAAAAAAAAAGAAATGAGTTTTCGGACCGTGGAGTATTGTCGGCAACCTGTTCTCATATTCTCAGTGGGGTTTTTCATTATTGTATTCATAAGTACCTATTTCTGTAGTACTTAGAACTAGGTGGTCATTGTTGGCATCTAGAGAGAGTGATTGTAGAGAGTTGTAAGGCCCATTGTGTTATTCTCAATCATAGTAGAACTCACCGCTCGTACTTGGGGTGAACCAGTACAAATCTCTTGTATTATTTATGTTTCTCTTATATTCCTTTGTTGTGTTGTTTAACTACGACTTGCTCATAAATGTGGACTGAGAAAAATCCTAGTTAAACTCTATTGGGTAGCTTGTATTAGAGACTATGTGTATTACACATTGGGCATATTTTTCCCAACAATACAACGGCATGTTTTTAAAAATCTGAAAACAATTATACTATGGTAACTTAAATTACAAAGGAATGTTACATGAAATTATGTTGCATGGTGAATCGACCTTCTTTCTCTTAAAGGACGGGGAAAGTGACTATAAAGGTTCTAGAAATATTTTGTTGGAAAGAAATTCTATAATATAAGACTAACCTTTAGATTTCTTAATTTTTTTTTTAAAGATAGAGTGATCCAAAACACTGTAAAACAAAAGATACTGTAAAATCTTCGAGTGGATTTATGTAGAAGAAATAGTATAGATGGAAAAGGGAGGCAAAATGGGTAAAATGATGGGTAACATAAAGTCTATAGATCTTGGGCAATATATTTGAGGAGTTTTTGGCCACACAAGATTTGGAAAGTTTTTGGATCAAAGAGGGATGTGTTATTGATGTGTGACAAACCCTAAAGTGTAAGGTCAATTTTGAACTGCATGTTTGAGCTATTTAGATTTTCAACATTCTTTTTTGGGTTGGGAAAAATTTGGCATTTGGATATTTTTTTCATTTTCAATGTTGACGATATCTCAATTTTATGAAAATGTAAATGTATGATATTCTCATATAAATTCAGAAATTCATAAAATATATTTGAATTTACCAATAAACATTTTACTATTTTTAAATAAGTTAAAAGTTCGTATTATTAACACTATATCTACATCAATGATATATTTTTTTTTATTCTCTTACATCTTGTCGATTATTTTACAACATAATGAAAATGTTAATTCACTCTTTATGTGAAGTTGAATCTACGAACATGTCTGAAATATTAAACCATGGTAATTAGTACGTTGTTTTGTGTCATTTTTATTTATTATAAAATGTTGGAATCTATTCAAAGTTGATGTAAGAGATGAGCAATAAAGCTCATCTCACAAAAGAAAGGATTGAATGATATCACCTCATAGTTTTAAAAGGTAAGATGCCTAAAGAAATTTTCATTCCAAACATTGGTTGTTCTCTTCCTTTAAAGACCAAAAAAATCTCTCTTTTTTTTTCTTTTTCATTTCCAATTTGATGCCCATAAAAAAAAAAGTAATTTATTCCTTCCATGGATTTGAGTTCTTTTTTCGTCTAACATAAGAATACAAGGAAAAAAACCGCGTTCCAAGTTTCTTCCTCTCTACGCACACCATCTTAATTCCCATAGATGAAAAAAAAAATGCAACAAAGTTATTGCTTTTGTGTTAGGAGTGGAAATGAATGAGTGAAAAATTCATTACCTGCTTTTTCGTTGTTGATATTTACCACAACTAATCATAAACGATAAAATAATATTTTTATTTATGTTAAAAAAAAGATAGAAACAATAAATAAGATAAATTTGATTTTATTGTTTCTATTCTAAAAAGATGAGAAATGATAAATAAGACACTATCAAACACTTATATTTCTTGAAAAAGGAAAAAACTATAGTTCTATAGGGTTTTTTTTTTTTTCCAATCAATTTTGATGTTATCTTATCTCATTTTTTTGGTCATAGAATGTATGATCTCCATCACGTCCTTTTCTCTAAATAAATCTCTCCCTTTCATGGGACACCAATCAATCTACAAAGCTCCAAAAAATGAGCACTCTTTTTCTTTCTCCTCCACATACAATCTAATAATTCATATTCAACTCTATACTTTGACATCTTTCAACCAAATAAAAAGGCCTGCGAATCGGATAAACCAACATGTCATCATCACTCAATATCAAGCTATAAAAAAAATCTATAAACCCAACCATGAAAATACTTCAACTTACCATGTAGACTTTTATTTTTATTATTATTATTATTATTTTTTGTCTAAACACAAAAAAGCATCTAACACAACTAAAAATTGTTAGGGGCACCCTTCACGACAAAGTTTGAGTTTTGATTTATATATTCATAATGATACCATGAGTGCTCGATATATTTTCAGATACCGCTATATTGGACCAAGTAATGAGCGTCAAGTGGGACCAAAGCAGTCCCACCAAAGAGAAGGACAAGTCAGCTAGAATTCTCAAATCGGTGGCTTCCAAAGGCGACTCCTAAAATAATCGAAATTGACTCATTATATTGTAAAACAACATTTACCCTAGCTCAACTTAGCATAACTTGATCTAAACTAAGTATCATAGCGTGGTGGACATAACACCACGGGTTAGGTTTCTTCTCCTACAAGTCACTATTTTTGACATTCCAATCTCACCTAATATCTTCTTTGAGTCCATTTGTCAAAATCTACATAAATAATACCTAAACAAATAATATCATACCACCGTAAAATTGTTCATCACTAATCGTAAATTTTAAAGAAAGTTAAATTAAATGAGAGATTAAGATAATGTAATATAAGTAGATATGACTAACATCACCAATGATTTTTTTTAGAAAACATGCATTAAGATAAGAGAATTATTGAAACTTATCAACTTAGAAACTTGAAAGTACAGACATGAAGTTTGAATTTTCAAAAAGAAAATTCAAAATTTCTATTTTCTGAAAAAGAAATTAGAAAAAAAAAATCCAAGTGGTAAATATGGAAGAGACCAAGCACGCTCCACGTTCACTTCTTTTTATTATTATTTTATTCTGGGCAGTACACGGGTTAGTTAGAATTACATGTACACGTCATCATGGCTCCTTCCGTCAATCATGACTCGTGACACCGTGCCAATATATGGTGGTTAGCGTTCTCCGTCCATTTATCTCGCGTTTCTCTTCAAGATATCGCGATATGTTTTGCGATTCGGAATATGGACAATTTCGAAATAAATAAAATTTGAAAATAAATAATAAACTGTAAAACTGAAAAAGTTGACGGGGAGCGGCGGTTTCCATAATTTGACTTTCTTCAAAAGTGTTCATATTCAAACTCAAATTATTTTTTACTTTTCCCTTTTAGTTTGAATTTTTAAAAAAGAAGTTAACATTTTTATTTAAATTTTTCTAAAGATTTAATTATTTGGGGCAACTAACAAATGTTTCTAGAATGGGCATTAAAATAATTAAAGTTATTAAAAGTTGTTGAATAAAAACAATTAAAAATTAAGATAGATATTAGGGTGGAAGAAATTGTATGTGTGAACATATGGAAAGCTTGGAAAGAAAGCGCATGCATGATTAGACTTGGTAGAAGTGAAGTTCGTGGTTTGTTTATCATCTGATTTTGATTATTTTATCTATTATTCAAAG